GGTTGATCTTAAGTTCCAACAACAGACGTCATGTTGTCATGGATTAGATGCACCAAACACAGAAAACCAGAATGCAAAGCAAATAAGATCAGCTAAACACAATACGACAATTATGAGAGGACACGAACACGAGGGTTTCGAAAGTTTAGAGTGCGGCTCTGATTATGGCAAATAGAATATTGTAGGGCTCAAAACCCTATATTTTGGTTGGTTACTCGTCGTATTTTTGTTTTTAACCATAAATAAAAGGTGTGTGTGCTAAGGGCCGCGATAGAAGAGAGCACTGAATCTTCAAAAATCTTCTAAAAAGATTTTTTATTCTGGAAAGAAATCACGTGTGACTCTAGCACTCTATCACCAAGTATTTGGTGTAAAGTCCAGAAATTTGTAACAATAATATTATCTCATGTGTGCAGTCACTACGCCATCAGCCCATGCAAATGCAGACCCATTTCTGGTGCCAATCTACCTGACAGAGCTCCACGGTTGCTGGCTGTCTGGCGGTCTAGTGCAAACGCGGTCAACAAGGGGCGAGAACTGTCTGTTACCTTTTGCACAGGGTAGCAGCAACAGGGGGCGGCTAATGTTATGTTTGACGGACAGGGGTGCAACATGCTCAGAGAACATGGTGGGCAGGTTCGATTGTTGTTGTTATTGCTGCTGCTCACGAGGAACCGATACAAGTCAGGTTTCTAGGTTACGTGACATCCTCTGGTCAGAACTTGTGAGTGGTCGCAAAAGTGTTGAGGTCACCAGCAATTAAAGATCTTCCAGTGGACACATGCATAAACAAAGCGGTCCTTAGGAAAGCACTGTTCACTCTTCTAAACATCCTCAACCTATTTATACACTCTGAATACTAAGTAGAGGGAATTCTATCTGAGAAGAAGACGACTCGATCGCTGGGACAGTAGACCTGGAATTCTGTCTCCCAGTTGGTGTACTTGGTTGTTCTCATTTACTGTCAACACAATCGTTGACAATGCTCGAAGGTTTCGTGCAGCAGAGGAATGGCCATACAGTACGTCCCATCGGTTTCGAAGCTCGAGTTTGGGGATTTTAAAGTCGAAAGGCCAACTGGTAATGGGAGACAGATGTAGTGAAGTCACAAAAATCCACAGATCCTTTCTGCAAACGTGAAAATCAGTCGCTTTTTCTGGTGTAAGCACGGAAGAATTCGATTGGCAAGTTTTCTATCGTACTCCTCTCCTTACTACTTATAACACCACGGCAGGCAAATACTCACATACCGTAGCTTTCGCTACGTTCTAAACACGGCGTAGTCTGAAAACAGCCGGTACCTTAAATATAAAATCATTCTGCACCAATGAATTAACACAAAGGCAAAGACAGCAGGCTGCCAGAATAGTGCTAAATGAGAGATAGTTAGAGTTAGTACGTGTGTACGTGTGTACACATCTGCCCTGGTATTTGATGCCTTTCAAGTGTAATGGATGGATGCGTATCGCACAACCGCTGCCACATGATAAATATAGTGCAACTTCTAAAAACTGAACACTTTCGTCACCAAATCAGACCTTTCAAGTAGCATCTAACTTAGTTCACACAATGCTGTAGCAACCAATCTCCTCAAACAATACTCACTCACAAATTGCATTCCCTAGCAAAGGGATCTTTGGCATTACACCCTGCTAGGAGTCGAAAAATGCCCAATATTAAGGAGAAAAGCAAAAACGAGAGTCATTCTCTCGGAT